ACATTATATATGTATATAGATTATTACTATTTTGAAATAAGTTCTTAAACTTATTTTCCTTAAAACATAGAACACAGTAACTAAAGAAGTAATGCAAACAATTATCTCTTCTAGTTATGATTTTTGAACTCAGTTGTTGCTTGATGTAGGTTGCTCAGCCTTTAAAAAAAAATTGCATATGGAGGATATGAAACAAAATATATTTTTTTAGATTTTATATATATATACATTTAAAAAACTAAAAAAATCATAAATTACTACATTAATACCATAGGATTCCACTATAATTTATCAAGCTTACTAACTAAGATGTAATTTAGTCTAAAAAAATATGAAATTTCGAGCAGACTAAAGACACACCCTACCTCGTTGAGATATTGGTTCAAAAGAAATAAATGGTGCCAAGTCCATTAAAATGGCTGAGAAAGCCACTAGAGAGAGAAATTCTGACCTTCCAATTGGTTATTCATGTCATATAGAGAAGTGTATATAAATGAGCATTTCCAAAAATGTAAAAAGGGGGGCAGGATGCTACTGTGTTTGATTTATTACACGAGCAATATCTTAGCAAATTGAAAAGATAAGAGGCTCTTAGCTTTGGGCCGGGGTCAGGTTCTCCCCCCCAAAAAAAAAACATACACAAAAATTAGAAACAAATTCCAAAAATACAAAATGTCTGTATTTTTGGAATTTGTTTAAATTGTACTTAAGGAACAGTAGCATTTCGGCATTTTCGGGTAAAAGCCTTGACCTTTTGTATGTGATAATGTTGCCAGCAGTACTAAAAGCCTGTTCGCTGTCTACACTGGTTGGATATGCAGAGAGATAACAGCTTGCTATCCTGGCCATTGTGGGAAATTGAGCCTCATTTGACTTCCAAAAGTGAGGCCAGTGAAAGTAAACACAGAAACAGTGATGTTAACAGCTTCTGGAATCATTATTCCAATTAATGCCTAGCCCCAACTTCTCAAACCCTAACCTCTATTGTTCTCTGAATCTCCAACATTAAGCAGGTGGTCAGTCTTTGTTGCTCAGAACACGTTTTTTTAACTAAACCAATTATTGACTGTAACTTCCACTACCGCACAAGTTGCCACAAAGATTAGGGCTTAGATGCCATTTTCAATTTCCAGATTTGGCTGTTAACTTTGACACTTGGGCAGAGCCGAGTATTACCAGGTAGCCCAATAACTGGCCGGGTAGTATCCATGCTTCTCTAGTTATGACAAAAAGATTAGTAAATCTATGAAAGAAAAAGGGGAGATGTATAGGGTCCTAACTCATCAAAAAGAGAGATAGAAAAGCCACATACCTCATAAACACATCCAAATACAGCAAAAGGTGATCTGTCCAATACAGTCAAAAAAACATAAGTGGTGTAAATATCTGATTATGGGTAATATTCAAATGGAAGAAGGTAAATGATCTTTGAGTACAAGAATAATACCCAAGTTCAAAAGTTCAGAAGCCTTCAAAGGACATTTAATCTGTAAAAAAAAACTTAACCTGTAAAATCCAAGTGTGATAAATATTGAGAAAAACTACAAGTACACATAAATGCCACTAGACAAATGAAAATGAAACAGAAGGAAAGGTTGAATTCTCAAAGAGAAATTGATTACCTAAACTGTCATGGGCAACAGGAGATCTATAAAACATTGAGTCTTGTAAAACTTCTCCTGGAAGACCTAAACAAGATGATCAACTACTCAACAAGACAAAATTGACCTGTGAAACAAAGACCTGACACTTGGACACATTATGGTGGAAGATGGAGATATACAACTGCTGTACAAGAATATAGTTCCAAGTTGTAAGAACCAAAAATTCTGCCATACAAACAGGTGTAGAAGAGAAAACCCCACTTGAGCTAGTCATTAGAAATACCCATTGAGAGAAGACAGAGTAAGATGTATCCAACCCTTCAATGTAGCTAATGGTTCTCGAGCAGTTGTCTCCAACCAGAAAGCAGATCACAGGATTTTTCTTTATTTATTCATATTTTTTTAACCAAAGCTATATGTAATCAAAGAGGTATGCATTTACATCTCTAAACTGAGTGAAGTCCTGCTGGCTGAGTTCTGAACACATTCCCTCACTTGATTAACCATGTAAAATTCAAAGCATGCACAGTAGCAGCTGTACATTAGATGTGGTACTGTATTTTTCATAAATTCTACTAAGTATTTGTTAACAATTTTTATGGTAGATCTTGGGAAATAATGTAATGAAAGGTAGATTCTGCTGGTAAGAAAGCAGTGAGACCACTATTCTAGAGAATACAAAACTGGAGATCAAAAAAAGGAATTTTGGTCTTCACAGATGGATGATAACTACAAATCTCTTTTAAGTATAACAAGACATAGAAACAGAAGTTACAACAAAATCAAATTTTGTGAGTAATTCTTTACTAAGGAGAATCCATCTTGTTTTTTTTCTTTATGTAATTTGGTCACTTTGAAGGAAGTTATGGTTTGAAAAACAATATGTAGCCAAACTTGTTGAATGAATGCTTTTCCCTAACTCATAAACAATTAAGTGACAAGTTGGTGTTGGAGATATGTGGCATATAACTCAGGTGAGACACACATGAAAGAAATACTGCAGGTTATGGAAGGCTCTAGCAATTTGACTAAAATTTTCATTAATAAAACATGAAACCAATGGTAAAGCTACTCAAACACACGATAAGATGGAGCCATCATCCACAACTCAAACAGATGAGTGCTGTATGCAGATCCTAGCTCACCACAATCATACACAGTACAAATGCCATGACTGATATTAACAGCCTCACTTGGATACCTTTTGTACAGGATCCACAAGGTCTACCTGTATGCCAAACACCAATCTGAGTGCATATTGTTCACAGAAAGGTAAAAAAACTAATCATCTGTAATGGTACCAAGAATATGTCCAGTGGACAAAAGATATATAGAACAATCTTATTTATAAAAATCTGTCTAATTTCACTTTTGCCAGATAACAGGTACATATTCATATGGAAAACATCAAAAACCACATCCAAGCCCACTTTTTATGACCCATGTGATGTTGGTGGAAATATGGTGTGAATAGGAACATGCATTGAGCACTGGTGCATGTACCAAGCTGTACATCCTGCAAAGTGGTACCATTAATCCCAAACAAATAAGATCGTTTTAGATGCCATACAGTGATGCAATGTGCCCTGACTTTTAGCCTAATGGATAATACCCACCATCCAGAATTCAGGCCCAACTAGAATTTAAACTATGCTTTGGAGAGGTGGATTGCATCCCATGTACTGACTCTAAACATTAAAAATACCTTTAAAATAACTTTAAAAATTGTTAAGCATACATCTGGATCTTTTAACATTTGATTTTACAAATGCAACTGAATGAAATTTAATAGTGTAAAGATGTTAAGTCAACTCTACCAAATATTTATTTACAAGCTTAGTTTAAATCACCAATAACTTGAACTTCACATCACATGACACGTCATCAAATGTCTGATTTCAAAGGGGTAGTGACTGATATGATTTTTGCCTTGCCACAGCTACAATGTTATAAATTCTTATGATCATTCCATTTCTTTACATTTTAAGCGTTTGTCAAAAAGCTGAACAAACACTGGATCACACAATGTAAGTCTACAAAGCTTGTTAAGTACATTTTTGTATCTATAAAAATTATGAAACTTAAGTGTTATTTTTATAAAAGAATAGGTAAACTGCATTTCTACACATGTGTTTGTGTACATATATGTATAAAACTGTTCAACAAATAAACATGTTCCACATAAACATAAAGAATTAAATGCTAAATAGGTACATTATTCTGTCTAGACTTATACATAATAGTAGTTAGCAAGTGATGTGTGATTATGTAAGCATATAAATTAGCTAATCACTTTGTATGTTAATACAAACAAAACACTATTTATTTAAGCTTGTGATTCAAATCGTTTAAATATATATAAAACTAACTGTGAAATATATGTACGTGTTATTAAATAAACACTTTGAATTCTAGAGTAAGTAAACATTTGTGTGCACAAAGAAATAAAACATTTATGTTTGTCCAAATAAAAATAAAACTGGAAAAGTGTAAATACTTATAGAAAAAACACAATGAGCTTATTGTTAAAATAACACATTCCTTTTCAAAAATGGTGCTAGCCATTCAGTAGAGTTAATCATTTCAATTAAACCGGTCAAGGCCTTTACATATATCATTGCAACACACTAAGAGTTAATTCTGTACAAGAACAACACTTACTATCTTGTAACAGATGGTCCAACATTCTTAGATCCCCTGCTCCCGCCTTCAACATAATAAGCCATTCCTTAGGTAACCTACCAGTTCTGCTGAAAAATCTCAAGCACCGTTTTCTTCCAACACCTATTTAAAGTCAATAAACTTTTACAATAGGAAGTTTATATTAGCACAAATTCTTCAGTATTTTAAAAAATGTAATGAAATAAATAATATTTTCCTTCAAGAATATAGTTAAATGATAAAATATCTATGTCTGTAACTTACTTTATTACTTGATTTATTGCATTGGCTGTAATCCAATTTATTACCAGAAAATACTGAAGTAACTGTAACTGTGTTACAGTTTAGTTTGGGTATATAATAATGTAGTTATAGTTCAGTTGCTTCCTAGTATGTATAATAATGTAGCTATAGTTCAGTTGCTTCCTGGTATATATAATAATGTAGCTATAGTTCAGTTGGTTCTTGGTATGTATAATAATGTAGCTATAGTTCAGTTGCTTCCTGGTATGTATAATAATGTAGCTATAGTTCAGTTGCTTCCTGGTATGTATAATAATGTAGCTATAGCTCAGTTGCTTCCTCGTATGTATAATAATGTAGCTATAGTTCAGTTGCTTCCTCGTATGTATAATAATGTAGCTATAGTTCAGTTGCTTCCTGGTATATATAATAATGTAGCTATAGTTCAGTTGCTTCATGGTATATATAATAATGTAGATATTGTTCAGTTGCTTCCTGGTATATATAATAATGTAGCTATAGTTCAGTTGCTTCCCTGTATGTATAATAATGTAGC